TTTTTTTTGGGGGGAGGGGGAAGCCAAGTCCCTTGTAGACGGAGACAGCCTTTGAGCCGCAGATCTCCATTGGCAAGCTTTCAGATGATGTTCGAATCTGCCAAGTGTATTCTGCACATTCCCTAGTAACAAGAAGCTACGATCGGAACAAAGGGCATCGCTATGAACGGAGCAAGAGGACGCTACGAACGGGGCTCCTGGCATCGCTACGAAGGGAGCATTCTTACTACCCCCAGGTTCCCTCCACGTCCTTCACCACGAGGCTTGAATCCCTGCGTCGTGGAGCACGTCTCCTGGTGCCTAGCCAACCTATGGGAGAGCTTGGGGGTGATGGCAAGGGATGGGAAGGACTGAGATATTTGGTAAAACCAAAGATTCTAAGGGATTTCTAGAGGTAGAACCTGGGTTTAGAGGTATAGGAATATATATATATATATATAGACGTATATCGCCCTTTTTTGCTGGCTAACCTGTCACTTTCTATCTATGTTGGGGTCAAGCTAGATGAATTTGCTTCAACATCAAATAGGCTCCCAAAACCACAGGGTGTTGATCTGGAGCAAGTCACGGAGTACAACGAAGGTCCTTGATGTTGTGATAAGCACAACCACAGATGGGACTTGAAAGACAACATACATAGAGTGTAACGTCTCTTCTGATGTTCAGTTCTAAGGATATCACGCACAATCTTGATGCAACCTCCTTCGGACTGGGTTGTTTGCGAAGGGACCTGCGGCAAAGACCATGCCACAGAATAGTGGAAGACCTTCTTTTGGGCTTTTCTCATGGCAGAGTTCTTCAAGGAGTTTTGCAGCTTTGCTGTTCAAGGACCCCTTGGGCCATTTTCCAAACCTGGGACCTTGTCATGATGGCTTCATGGCGGCCAGGGTGTAGAGCCGAGGAAGCACCGAAGATGACACACACACACACACTACAATGGCTTCCCCTACAACACGGCGGAAGGAGTGAACCCCTGTTGTTCAATCGTCCCTTTTTCGTTTTGGGATTGACGGGGGAGAAATTGGGTCTTCCAGAAACTCGGAGCCTGATCTTCATGATTTGGAGCTCTCCCCAAATCCAGGGATCCACAGGTTATCTTTTCGAACCGTTGGTCTAAATCGGGTGATCCGAAAAGAGATCTTCCGTTGCATTTGATCCTCTATAGGTCCTATAGGTACTCTTTCTCCGGTTTCGGGGGGGGGAAACGCCGCGGCAACTCTGATGGTTTTCCGCAACCAACGGAACTCCGGGATGACAGATGTTTCACCCCCCGCACCTGCTGATCAGACCATGCAAGAACGGTTGAAGATCGCCCGAGCACCACCATCCCAAGCTGCTGAACCGGAGTGCCGTTGTCTCAGCCAAGTTGTGTGCTCAAGATTGCTCTTGAAGGATAGACTGCATACCTCTGGACAAAACAAACAACGCCAAGAACACCATGCCTTCGATCAATCATACATAGCATGTATTCAGAGTGATTGTTGAGTGATTGTGGGAGCGGCAACGCAGCATTCCAGCAGGCTAGGTCATTATCAAGCATCATCATGGCTCAGGATTCTTGATACACATGCCGCAAAACGCCCTTTCAAGCCTTTTCGCACCCCCCCCCGTGAGGGGTTTCTAGCTTTTGCGAGCCAGAGGATCCAAGACTCCATCCTTCCACCCCAAACAAGTGGGAGTTCCGCTCCACTCGAAGCGGACGGCGACGTGGAACGGGAGTTCCCCCAGCCCGACGGCGACGTGGGACATCCTCAACACATGTTTCGACGCTGGGACGGCCGCGATCAGGCCGCGTCTGGCCTCCAACAGCCTGATGATCCTTATCCGAAAATTCTCCCTGTCCACCCCGTGGCAACTCCGGATTTCAACCCACTTGACTAGACTCAGGACCGTCACATCATTAGAATCCTTCTCCCTTGGAGTGTTGTCCGCACGCCACCGATGGCGGAATCGGATGAGGTGTCTGCCGGGCTGCCGCGGGGCGGTGGGAGTGTTTTTATTTTTTTGTGGGCTGTGAGTCAAAACCTTTTCCACCAAACCATGGATCTTGGCCAAGCACAAGATCGAAGGTTTTCAGGTTAGCAAGAGGACAAAGGTCCTTGACCACTGGCATTCCAGGGGAGTTTTAGAATGGAGTAGGTTGAACATCTCTTGGCATCTTCCCCCATCAACCAGTGTTGTCAGACAGCCAATCCGGATTGGCAGTGTGCTATCAGCAGATCGCTTTGCATGCACATCCTGCAGTCTTTTGAGATCCGTGAGGGTTGTGGAAATAGCGCCCCAAGAGCTCAGGGATTCAATTCGAGCTCAATGGGCGTGTAGGCTTAGGCGTTGGATGGACTCAGGTGGACTGGTCCAAAACGTCGTCCGAACCGAAGGCTCCTTGGGGCCAGGGGGATCGGAAGGCCCACAGAGAGACGACACCGATCGGTAGCTTCACGGGGATTTGCGATCGAGGCTCATGAGCCTGAAAAACATCCTCAGTGCCTGGCGTGGACCCTGGAAAGATCCATGAAATCCTTACCACACATGAGCCTCTACCTTTTCCCATGTTTCTTGCAGGGAGGGTCAATTCGCAGAAAAGGCGAACCGGCTGGATGTCATGTCCGATTCTTTTTGCTGAGGGCCAAGGTCTTCTTTATTCGAGTTAACGACGGGTGGAAATCTGGATCTAGTCCGGCTGGAACTGGAACTGAGTCTCCTGACCTGGTGCTAGTGCCTCCTAAAACACTTAGAGGGCTCGCAAGAGCAAGTTTCAGTTACTGAATCACCGATGCAGGCTGGAACTAGAAACCTCGTTAGCCCCTTCTCAATGCGCAACAACGGATAGGAACGGCTTGAGCTATACTTAGAATCACAACAAGAAGAGAAAGTGAAACGATGTCCTCCAGCTGCGTCTTCTCCTGCGCCATGCGCCGCGACTGAAGCAGGTTCACAAAAGGGGACTCTCAAAAGACAACACAAAAATAACACACACACAACACCAGACAAAAACACAAAAAACAATAAACCACAAAACCAAAAGAAATCAACACACGCACAATCCACGTGCTCCGACCAGGCGCCGGAGGCCGCGGGCGCGGTGCCGGCGGTTGCGGCGTTGCGGTGGCTGCGGCAGCAGTGGCGACCGAAGCTGCAACTGTCGCCTGAGAGCCGTGCGACTTGGCCGATCTTGGTGCCCTATAGTAGCTATTTGCTACAATAGTGGCAATGCCCTTTGCTCCGTGGGTAGCGATGCCAATTGTTACGTTCGTAGCTTCTTGTTCCTGGTAGTAAGGCCAGGCCAGGAGCTGCAAGAAAAAGGATGGATGTTTCTTGGAGCGTTGAAGGATTCTACATGTTGATGAGTTCGGGCCAGCTTGGGTGTAAACAGGATTCGTCAGACGTCCAGGTGTCTTCAAGTGTCAGTTTCAAGTTCTTCACATTGCACTGCTGTTCCGTGTGTGCAAACCCGAAACTGGAACTCGGTTCAGTCTTGTTCTTTAATAAAGAGAGGATCTGGAGGTTTGCTCTTGTTGGGGACCTGTTTTCTGAGACGGTCCTGTTCTTTTATTTTTTTGCACGTTGTCAAGTTTCGGCACGAAACTGTGTGCCTTGAGGTCATGTGCATGACTTGTGATTCTGTGGCACCTACCCGTCTCAAGATTTGGGTGGGTGCGTGCCTTTACGTTTGATCTTGAAGCCATAGTGGCGCGCCTTCCACTGAAAAGATTCGCTGCGAGCGTTTTTACGGTTCACGAACTTCGAGCGTCGATTGAACTTTCGTTGGTGGTGGCGCGGAGCTGATTTTGCTTTGAGGGCCACTACATGTCAGGTGCAGGAGCATCGCAATCCACAGGATCCACCACCTATTCCGGAGACCTTGCTATGATGGACTGTGCTGACGTCAGAGTCAATCCTGCACAGGAAGCGATTGATGAGCAAGGAGCCTTTGCTGCTGTTCAGGCTCGTCGTGTTGAGGCAGCTCGTGCCTTCATTGCTGCCGACTCAGATGCCAAGTTGCGAAGAGCTTTCACTCAGAAGTTTGCTGAGATGCAAGATGGCCAGAAAGTTTGGTACTGGCACAAGCACTTGCGACGCCTACAGAAGCAGGGTTGGCGTGGTCCGGCCCGAATTGTTGCCATTGAGGAACAGCCCAGTGTCAATGTTTACTGGCTTTGTCATGGTACATCGCTTCTCAGGTGTGGTGCCCGACAAGTTCGCCCGATGGTGGAGGACACAGGTATGCCAGTTCCTGCTGATCGCCAAGCTGCATTGAGAGATCTGCAAGAGTTGAAAGCCCGGAGCACAACCCAATTCCGGGATGAGCTTCGACGCAGTGGCCAAGCTGATGAAGCAGATGAGCTCGAAGGTGACGATGTTGAGTTAGATGCTGAATATGAGCCTTCGGAGCGTGATGCATCAGAGGATGAACCGGAATCGAGAGTTGATGCAGAGGAGCCCAATGTTCCAGGTGTTGTCAGTGTTTTCCTTCTTCGCCTTCAGAAGACAGAGAGAGAACGCCCAAACGTCGTGAGTCAGTGACAACCATGGCCCCGACGGAAGCTGAAGCAACCCAGGCTGCAGTTCCGACAAGCCCCAAGAGGAAGAAAGCTGAAGCTTCTGCAGATGAGCCTCCCGGGAAATCTGCTCGTGCAATGCCATCAGTTCCCATGTTCCCAGGTGATCTTGGAGGAGGAGCCATTCCAGTTCCAGAGAGTGATGATGACCTGTCCATTGAGGAAGTGTATCTCACTCAGCTTCCTGTCAGTGCAAGATGGGTGCTGACTTGGAAGAAGCTCGAAACAGAAGACGGCAATCCAAGATGGAAGGCCAAGGCACGTCTTGTGCTTGGAGGCTTTCAGGATCCCGACATCCTGAACATGAAGACAGCAAGTCCAACAGCCGGGAGAACCAGCAGGACCTTTCTTTTGGCAGTTGCAAGCTGGATGAGCTGGGCAGTCTACTGTGCCGATGTTCAAGCTGCATTTTTGTCTGGAAAAGGTTTTGACAGAGTCTTGGTTGTTCGTTTGCCCATGGATTGTCTTCCACTTGTTGAGGGAGGCAAGGAGCGAGTGCGTCAGAAACATTTGTACATGAAAATGAAGAAGAGCGCCTATGGGCTTTGTGATGCACCTCTGCTTTGGTTCCAGGAGGCAGCGGCAAGATTGAGCCCTCGATGCTGGATAAGTCATCCCCTCGACCAATGTTGCTTCATGCTTACAGCCGCCAAGAGTGACGAGCTGATCGGTCTTTTGATTTTGCATGTTGACGATATGTTGTTGACAGGCAGCAAGTCGAACAAAGAGTTTTGCAAGCCGTTGAGACCTGAGAACCTCCATTCAAATTTCAACTTTGGCAAGTGGGATGAGTTGACCGAGTCCGAGAGCTTGAAGTATTGTGGAGGAGTCATTCAAAACAAACAGTTCGGCGTTGAAGTTAGCTATGAGGAGTACATCAAGAAGATTTGTCCCATGACAATCCGCCGTGAGCGGAAAGATGCCGACAATGTCAGTCCAGCAGAAGTCAGTTCAGCCAGAGGCCTGATCGGTGCATTGCAGTGGCCAGCTACTCAGGGCATGCCAATTCTTTGTGCCTCGATGAGCATCCAGGCTGGCGAGATTCCAAAGGGCACAGTCGCAAATCTTCGCGAGTTGAACAAAACATTGCGATTTGCCAAGTCGAATGCTGCAGTGACACTGAAGTTTCTTGGACACCCGCCATTGTGGACAAGGAGGACAAGAGGTGGTTGAAAGATTTTTGTTTGATCTGTTATGCTGATGCCGCCTTTGGCGTTAGGTCTGACAAGACTTCGCAGGGAGGTTTTGTCATTCTGGCCTGCGACAAGCGAGTGTTGCAAGGTGAAAAGCATCCAGCTTCAACCATCTCATGGCGTTCCTTCAAAGTCCCCACGGTTTGCCGGAGTTCATTAGCTGCAGAGTGCCAAGCATGCGCAACAGCGCTTGAAGAGCTTTTGATTGCAATGCATTGTATGATGCAGTACAAAGGGAGACCATTCAGCAGGCAGCTGATAAGCGTGTTGCAATCGAAGGGCTGTTTGTTGGCTGATTTGAAGTGCCAATGGCGTTGGGCCTCGAGCGAGAGACAGTTGTCAGATGGCCTGACGAAGATCGGTGCTCGGCAGGCTTTTGTCGAGCGGTATTCTGGCAGTCATGTGCAGCTTGTGGCCAGCATGAATTTCATGGCGGCGAAGCAGAAGTCAAAGGAGGAGAGAGCTAGCGCTGTGGCTGAAACCAGACAGACCAAGTCAGAGGTTGCGCAGGCACTCATTGCGCTTGTGATGGCCTGAGAGGTGACGGGAGCCGAAGCTTTCACTCATGAGGACTGGACGTTCGGCACCTTTGAGATGTTCATGGCAACCGCCCTAGTTGGCATTGTTACATTGTTGTGGTTTGGTGGAAACTTCTTGCTTGCATGTTTTGCAATGTCGAAGACATCGCAACAGTCAAAAGCTGATGAAGAGATTTCACAGCTCAAGCTCACAATATGGGAGCTTGAAAAGGAGCAAGACGATTTGGAGAAAGAGAAAGATTCCATCCTGAAGGACTTTGAGAAGACCGAGCGAGAGCTGACTCGAGTGAAGGATGAAAATCAGCGGCTACAAGGAGAGCTTGCAGTGGCGAATGAAGCTGTGCGGCTTTTCAGGTCTCAGAGCATTTCAGGACCTGCCGGTCCCATCTATGTGACTCCGAACAGAGAGTGCTGGCATCGGTTGCGAACTTGTGGTGGCAGCAACAGGATTTGCCGAAGACCATGCAATCGCTGTGTGCTGCGAGGTGCTTCGAGTTCAGGGGAATGACTCGGGAATGACTTTCCCCGATTTCAAGTTTCGGCACGAAACTGTGTGCCTTGAGGTCATGTGCGTGACTTGTGTTTCTGTGGCACCTTCCCGTCTCAAGATTTGGGTGGGTGCGCGCCTTTACGTTTGATCTTGAAGCCATAGTGGCGCGCCTTCCACTGAAAAGATTCGCTGCGAGCGTTTTCACGGTTCACGAACTTCGAGTGTCGATTGAACTTTCGTTGCGCGTGTAAACTCAGGATAGTTGTATCACTATTATATATATCATGTTATATCCAAGCCATGTATAATACAAACGGAATGTGTATTCTTGTGTATTTTTGTTGTCAGGATCCTGCTGACATTGCTTAACATTTGGGTTGCACCATATTTTGTCATTTCTCGGGGAGATGTTCGGCAAAACCTTGGTGCCGCATCATACATACTGCACGCATGAAGATTAATATACATGCTTTATACATACATGAGATTTTCGACTTTAGACACTATGTACTTTATACTTACACCTGGATCTTCCAACTGTGCCTGTGCAACATTTATGCATGTTCATCTATAAAGCCATCCAAAAAGGCAGACATTTACGCGTAGTTGGAATGAACACCCCGATTGACGTCTACGGGGCTCTGAATGGAGACTCCCCAACCTCATTGCTTTGGCCTGACTGGGGATCTCTGAGAGTTAACATGGCTCGAATTTTTTCTGACAACGAGGACTCATGTGGACCCGTTCTGACGACCTAAGCGTTGAGACCTAGGTCCTAGGATAAATGACACACGACGTGTCTTTTTTGATTTTAATGGGTTGTGTGAGAGGTCCCCATTTGTCTTGTCATTAGCGGTTTCAGATCCTCGATTTCAATCCCTTGACTTGACATCGACATCAATGGAACGCGATTGGACTGCATACACCCCCGAAGATTAACATGGAACCTGAGACTGGAGACTATTTTCATCTACAACCCGACGTGGTTTTCAGGTTCCATGTGGGTCTCTTCCGGGGTGTATTGTTCCATTCAACTTTCGTCCTCTGCACGTCGAAACCGTCGAAACGCCGCGGCCGAGGAGCTGCTGGTGTCCCGAGCGGCGGAGCTGGAGAAGCAGGCGGCCGAAGCATGGTGGGTGGGTGAGTGAATGGGTCCAACGGAGGTAGCCAATGACCTGAAAAAGGACCAATAATCACCTGAAAGTACCCAACTGGGATCGAACTAGGGTTCTGAAAAAACCTCTGTTGGCACCGCCCCCAGTTCGAGCAAATCAAAGCGTTTTCCCGGAACCGATTTTTCCATTTCCATGATAGTAGGTCAGAGTGTATCTATGGGTGTCCTTGAAAAAGTCTTATCTCCTTTGATGGTTTGAGGGTGGCTAGGTCGGTTGACTTCTTTTCTGTCCGATTTTCTGTCACTGTACACCAAAAGCCCCATTCTGCCTGAAAGCCATCCTCCACTACAGTGGCTATTCTTTTCCAGCTGCATGTCAGTTTTGGCAGATGATCGCAGATTGGTCCATATTTGGATGTGCCATCCATCCCCTTTTTTTCGCGAAGCCAGCTTGAGATATCCTCGGGGGTGTCGGTAATGCAAGAACCTTGCGATGTTTGAGTCGACATGGGAGTAGCTGCGTAGCTGATCTTTCCAATCCTGTTGGACTTGGCAGGTGTCCATGGCCATGTTTCATTGGGGATGAATCTGTTTCATGGAATTCTCACAATTGGAGTCACTGAGTAGAGCAAGCGAAAACACACCATAGATAGATAGATAGAGAGAGAGAGAGAGAGACAGCGATGTTTTCTTTTCATTTTCACTGCTCCAGAAGATCTATCCCACATTATCCAACTATATATAGTCCACCACGAAGCTCATTGGGAAGAACCGGAAGACCCGGAACACCCCCGGTTCTTCCGGAGGGTTTTGTGTTTGAAAAGGGTCAACTGGTTGCCAACTGGTGAAGCTGACTTTCTGGAATCTGAGGTGTATGCAACGAAATCGTCCGTAGACTGAGAACGAGTGTCTGTGGATGTTTGATTCAACAGAAGACTGAGGTTCATGGGGGGTGAAACTTCGTGTTGTTCTTTCCCGCCGCGCGATTCCACCGCAGCATGGACCAGGACGGCCAGAAATATTCCTTCTCCTCCAGCAAGGGAGGTAGCTTCCCACGACTCAACAAGTACATCACATGCTAGTGAGCTCCAGGTGTACACAAATCTAACATACCAAACCTTCCGCTATGCAAAACCTCTATTCGAGTGAAGGGGAGTCAGACTTTGTCAGACTACCAACCGCAGTTGCATTCAGGGATTTTTCACAGACAAAGACAACTCGATCATCGAAAGACAAAGACAACTCAAATTGAAAGCTCCCAGTCAGAAAGCTTGCACTGCATCTTCGTGCATTTTCCACTTCCTCAACTTGACTTCACACGCACAGTGCGGAACGGAATTATTCGGCGTTGACTTCCGGGTACGCCGAACCGAAACATCTCTTCCGACCGTGGTGTGCACGCGCATCGGGGGTCCATCATGGAGCTCTTTGGAACTACTTGGGATGGCTATTCCTCTGAAGAGAAGGACTTGCGGGACTTGTGTGGAAGTGGGAGTTCAGCTGCCAGCGAAAGGAAGGGCAGCTCAAGAGGCTGTCGGCTGGGGAGGGGTGCGTAGACTGGGGAGTGAGTCCCAGTCCGCCTTTTCGGCCAAAGGAAGGACGGATTTTCGAAGAGTTTCCTGACCAAAGGGGTCGCCATTCTTTTGGAGATCGAGCCTCCCTTCGAAGCCTTCGAAGTCCGGAAGATCTGGATCTCAGGTATACCAACGCCTCGAAATCACCTTTGACATGAACAAAAGACCACTCCTGAAAGAGGTTTCTTCTTCGTCGTCTTCTTCAGTTGCGGACGCCCAAAAAGACCTTTAAAGGTTGACTTCAGGGCGAAGTCTTGAAGTCTTGAACCGCGCCACGCCTTCAGCGGTGTGGACACCAGCCCCGAGAACATCGCAAACATGACTTCAAGAGTTGATTGATTTGGAACAGATTCAAGCGGTTCAAACGCATGCTTTTGGGACATTTGTGCACCCTTAAGTCCAGTTTCGAGGACCCAGCGTGGAACTGCTAAGAACAGTATTTACATGACAACCCAAGTGAAACATATGAGAATGTTGTGACACCTGTAGTGAAACCATCGCAACCAGGCCGTGTGGAGTAGAGTTGAAGAGTAGACGTTCTCTATTTCTTTCTCTCCGTGACTTGCGGAGCGGCAGAGGAGCTGAAAGCCAAGAATTCCTTCAAGGATTTGATTGGCCTCTTGGGACACAGTCGTTGTTTGATTTTTTTTGGAGCCGCCTCGACAAAGCCTTCCTCGAAAACGCACCGCACCGCGTGCGCAGAAGGGTCGTAATAAGTGTTTTCTTTGAGAGTGATTGCCACCATCGCGTGCAGCGGCACCAAAGAGAATGAAAGACACCTGTCCCCCGAAGGTTGGGGAATCGACTTGGGACAAGGACTCGAAGGGTTGAGTGAAAGACATGGCACGGTGCTCGAAACGTGACCTTGAAGTAGCACACTTATCTCATCGCCCGGAAAGCAAACGCTGTGTTACCCAATTACATGCTTGGTTTGTTGCGCGGTCAAGGTCGGTGAACCAGTTTTCCATGTTCTCATGACTTGTTTGGGGTCACTTTTGGATCCAAGTGAGGAAACCGAATTGAATGAAGACCAAACTGAACCCGTCCAGTGAAGCAAGTTTGGACACATCTGGCAATCCTGAGGCATTCCGTTCTTTTGCCTGTGGTACATGTTTTTGGGAGCGATGCTGCTTGGCAAGAAAATGCGGGGGGTTGTTTGAAAGTTTGAAAGGACCTGGTTATTTTATGTTAGTTTGACGCTATCCAAACAGCTCTGGGGGGGGGGGATCCTGAAGAAAAAATCGGTCACTGTTGCTGGAAGAACACCAGACAGCCGCTGCGGGAAGCGGGAACGATGAAGCAAGACTCGTTCACTACTGGCCTGCGGAGAGAAGAGGGAACGAGACAGGCTAGATATTCAGGCAGAGAGGCTGGTCGGAGCCTGGGACCAGCTTTTGCTTTGTCCACCTGAGCTGACGAATCACACCTTGGCCCCAAGCCAATATTACTTTTCTGTTGTCCGTTGCAGGCATCAACCCTGCTAGCGGCGATGGTATTGATCTATCTTCTGAGATTCGAGTGGATGTGATGGGCTGGAAACACCTGAAGACATCGCTTTGATCCGAGAAGACGTGTCACTTTTGGTTTTCAGCCTCTCAGCCTCTCACACGAAGTCCGGGTTTAATTATCAGGCGCTTTTTTCAACATCTTCCCGAGCTGGGTAGATCCCCTGGCATGGGGATGTTCTTAGGTTCCTGAAGCCAATCCAAGAAGTGCTTGTTTCCGGCTTCCTCAACCTGACCGGTCCGTCAGTTCCCTCGAAGGACGGCGGGCGGGTGGGGCCCCAGCCGGCTGCCTGGACATGGCGCCGGGACTCGTTTCGGGGGTGACGAAGATGTGGGAGGCTCAACTAGACCACCTCAGTTCACCCAGCGCTGGTGAAGCTGCCAGCTCTGCTGGTTGCACTGACCCCAAGGGTCAGACGTGTGCTTCGTCCAGTCCTCGACTCGCCGCTCTAAAGGTTCATCCGCACGCGCTCCGTCTATGAGGAGCCGCGACAGACCAGCAGGTAGGGAGGTTGGAAGCTTGAGTCTTGTGATGCCTTCCTATCTAGTTGCTCAGGAGGGAGCTAAGGACGCGGGGGTATCCATATTCCCCATTAAAGAGGGAAGCCAGGAGCTACAGGGACTTTCCTAAAAGCCTTGCTTGTGATGTGAATGACGTGAACTGCCGGAATCGATCTTTTTAAAAGAGGATCACCCAGCGCTGTGTGCTTCAATTGTGATGAAGATCTACACTCCGATGGAATCACTCACCAATTCTTAGGGGAGTGAACACCACCTGTTTACATCAACCTGTTTGGTCAGACCGGATTTCATGATGATCCGAGTCTTTGGGGGCCATGGCCATCGACGTGACTTCCATGGATGAGATGAGACATCAGCGAGTGTGTCTCAGAGATTCACAGAAATCCAACCGCTGAATTCTTTTTCTCTGGAAGACACCACGGGCGCCTTGGATTTAACTTTTGGTCCTGATGGCCCTGATGGCCAGGAAGGAACGGCACCAGCCACTGATTGAAAGAGAGACATGGAGAACCACCTCCAATACCTTCATGAACAAAAACACGTAGGACTCAATTCAATTTTGTTCCGCAAAAGGTCCCAGATGGCGCAGGAGGAATTCTTCTTTGAACAGTACTCTTTAGGGTTGCACGTTTGATCAACCCATGACGGCTGATTCAACAGAGATTAATCGAAAGAACATGAGATGCCCAACTTCAACCTTTCCCAACTGGTGCAGCTGGGGTAGTTGTTGCGAGTAGAAAGCATCTTGGAGTAGTTTCATCAGGAGCTCATAACTGCTTCATGATGAGTTCATGACTAGTTCAGGAGCTTTCCGTAGTTCATGACTAGTTCAGCCCAAGATCATGGGACGTTTCGCTTCTGCCAGTTCCAGTCTGGCTGGTGGAAGCAGGAGACTCCCCTTGTGCCGCGCTTCTTCTTGGCCTTTGTGGCATTTGTGCCACTCTTCATGCACTCCCAGGCGATTTGGGGCTGGGTGGAGTGCGAAGTGCAACACGGGGTAGGTGGAGAGGAAAAAGAAGATGATGAAGAAGAAGACCATGACCAAGGTTTCCCAATGGATTCACCCACTTCTTAAGAGATCGACTACTGCTTTCACAGGGGTCACTTGATACGATGTTGACATCATAAAGCCCAACATCTCGCTTCCGAACAGTCGCTTCTTCGGTCGCCGGCGTCTCGCTCAAACATGCCGTTCGCCCCCCGGCGAGGGTGTCGGGATTTCTCACGGCGTCGCGGCTTCGACTACCGCGGCTTCTGAGCAGACATGGTCAGAGCAACATTGAAACGAGCTCCACTCGAACCCCAATCCCGAAAATTGTGGCTGTTCCCTGCCTGGCAATGGAGGTGCTTTACATAGGAAGTGGCTTGGACTCGGGCAACATCAGTTTGTTTCTGGTTGGGAC